AAAAAAAAAAAAAAAAAAAAAGAAACGTCTGTTGATTTGGAAGCTAAATCTTAGAGCAGTGACATCATAGGTGCTGTGGCTGTGTCTAGAAACCACTACTTTCAGGGAAACTACATGTAGCTCCCAGCACTATTCATGGGAGTGGACTTATATCTCCTGGCACCTGGGGCTCCAGGGCCTGATAAGCAAGTAGCCCACAGGATCATGTGGGAAACAAGATCTGTGGTCAGTAATCTGAGGCCATGAAACAGCCTCTTTTATAAGGTAGGTGACATTCTCGTAGATATATCCTCTGCCATTAATGTTTTATTAGTGCCTTAACTCTCCAAGAACCCAGAATTTTTTTATCCTGCTGATTTCTGCAAGTGTCATCAGGCCTGAGCCATGTCTGGTGGCCCCCTCTAGCTGTGGTTGTTGGTAATTGCTGGTGACATTGCCCTGCTAGCCGCACTGTCAGAATGGTATTGTAAGAACTCAAGAGTTCACGAGATATACCAAGACCAGTCAAGTGGTGACACCTGACAGGTTCACAGCCCAGCTGGACCACCTGGGGCTGCCCTATCTGACTGGATGAAGGCAGGTGTTGGGGAGAGGGGCTGGAGCAGGCATCACATTTCTCACTTCTTGACATACTTGTGCAGCCTCCTCCAAAACTGCCCAGTGGAGTATTCAGTCTGGAATTTCAAGACTTCGTGAATAAATGGTAAGTCTTCTCCTTTTTTACTAGAAGGGCGCGTACCCTTGATTGTTCAGGCTCCTGGGATGGGGAGCCTGACCAAAGCCACCAGCTTTGCCCTTCCCTTCCATGGATCCTTGCCTGCTACCCTAGCACTCGCTAGAATGCCTGGGTTCCTGTAACTTGTCTAGCTGCCGTCGCTGCTTGACACTTGTTCTCATGGATTGGCTTTTTGACTGTTGTTGAATTCAGGATTCATTAACTTGTTGTGGGCATGGTACCCAGGTAGATGAGGAAGGCTTGGGTACCCCTCAGAGCCTATAGCACGTAGCTGTTGGGCATGGAAACATAAGCCGTTTTTACTGGACCCAGTGTCAGGCAGTAGCTCTCACAGTATCTTCTTTCCTTTCAGTTTAATAAAAAACCCTGCCGAGAGAGCAGATTTGAAACAACTCATGGTGAGTACATTTATTTCTGATCCTTACAGTGCCTCTTTATTTATCTGGTCTCTACTCAATCATCTGTCCAGTACAGCCATTCCCTGCTCTGCCCTGACCATTGTAGTCCAGCTGAGCCTGCTTTATTTATCCTCTGAGTTTAAAGGAAAAGCTGGGATGACCTTACATCTAGGATGTTGGAGGAAGCCTGATAGACCTTTCCTTTAATTGTTGTTGTAATGTCAGTATTCAGAAGGGTTACGTAACTCAGGTAAAGAGTACATTTCTTTTTGGACAGTTACCCTTTCCCTTGCTCTCTCCTAGTTTTTCCCTCCCGCTCTCAACTTATTTTGGTGCCTATCTAGGAGTTTGAACTGAGAGCCTGTTCCTGAGCTGCTGTCTCTAAGTTTCTTCTTACTCAAGGCTAGCACTCTACCACTTGAGCCACAGCTCCATTTCCTGCCTTTTTGGTGCTTAGAGATAAGTCTTCATGGACTCTGCCAGGCTGGCTTTAAACCATGATCCTCCTATCTCAGCCTCCTGAGTAGTTAGGATTACCTGAACAGGCATGAGCCCCCAGAGCCTGGCTTATGATGGGAATTTTCTAATACTGACCAGCTCAACTAACATTTAGCATTCCCGAGTCTCATGTGGAATCATGGGGTTGTGGAATGCAGGACTGGACTTAGATGCCTTGAGTAGTCCGCACACTGTCCACCATTTCCTTTGTCCCTTCTAACAAGCTGTGAGGTCTTAAAGGCAGAGTTCCATCCCTCTCTCCTCACTTTACACTGCAAGAGGAGCTCAGGAAGGTGAGTGAGGGGCCTCCCAGCTGGCTCTTGGCTGCTCTGGGATGGATGCTAGGAGCTCCTTCCAGATGTGGCACAGGTGTTAGAACTGAGACACTGGATATTCCTTCTTGTGGTTTAGCACACTTCCTCCTCCTGTCTCCTTGTGTTGCAGGCTCATGCTTTCATCAAGAGATCTGATGCTGAGGAGGTGGATTTTGCTGGCTGGCTCTGTTCCACCATTGGCCTCAACCAGCCCAGCACACCAACACATGCAGCCAGCATCTAAGCCTTTAGGCAGCAGTGAAGATCAAATCCTCTGCCGGGTGGTGTGCCATGTTGCTTTCAGGCCTACTTCCCATGCTTGTCACTGTTCAGACGTGTGCATCTCACCTGTGACAAAGGATGAAGAACACAGCATGTGCCAAAATTGTACTTGTGACATTTTTGAAATTATTGTCTTTGTTACTATTGTTTTCCCTCAGTGGATTGGCTTTGTGCTTGGGGCTCTTTGTGTGTGTGTAGATGATCCAGACCCATGCCAGGCTGAGGTCCAGTGAAACTGGTGATGTGGCCCTTGCTGACACTGGCACTGCTGTTCCTGCCTGACACTTGGGCAGATTCTTAGAAACATGGGTGGTACAACCTCTCAGTGGAGGAGAGGAAGAGACCCCACAGGCAGTGCATGTGGAGCATGCTTCGCTGCTATGATAAATGAGCATCACACAGTGTCCATCATCTTAGTACGTTTTGCTTTTGATGTAGAATCGAGCCGCTTCATCACAAGCTAGCCAGAGCCCTCCACTGCCATGATAGTCAGGGCTTCACCAGGCTTGTCTACTGTGACTTCTGGTTGTTTCTATATTTATTTTTCAATAGACTGTGCGGGGTACTTAGTGGTATATGTCTCTTTAAATTTGGATTAGTGTTTCCAAAATGCTGATATTTTGAATGTCACATGGATCAAGGCATTAAAACGTCAGATTTCTATCCCTGCCCCCATTCAAGCACCAATGCTATTGTAAACGGGTATAGTGCCTAAAAATTGTATGAGAATCCTTTTAATCATTTTAATCCAGATGTTTAACAAATCTAATCTCTTATTCTAATAAAAATACTGTCAACTTAAGGGATGGAAGATGTGTGTTCTTTTATATAGGCTATTCAGTTTCTCTAGTGTACAAGAAGCAGCCTTGTCCTGACGTCATGAAGGAGGCGGCTGAAGGCTGGTTCTCCATTGTCCTGCACTGGGAACAAGTCCACTGCAGTGCACTAATGGGGGGTCCCTGCAGGCTCAGTCTTCGTGCTGATTCTTTTCACGTAGTATCCTCAGTGTGATTTATAATCACTTTGCCTGAACCTGTGAGCAGAGCCTATCTTTTCCTCTCATCCCTTCATGAGGGAAAAGCCACACTGGGGATTGGGAAGAGGTCCAGATCATAAGCCACTGCTCTCATTTTCTAAAACAAGAGCTTAGCTGGAATCTAGGTACTGGTGTCTATCATCCTAGCTACTCAGAAGGCTGAGTTCTGAGGATCACGGTTCAAAGCCAGCCTGGGCAGACAATACAAGAGACTGTTACCTCCAGTTAACCAGCAAAAAGCCAGAACTGGCACAAAAAGTACCTGGGTGGAGGCACAACTCAACTGAAAGAGCTCGGAAGCCAATTGTGTACTGAATAATAGCAAGAGACCTGAGTTCAATTACTGGAATCAGCAGAGAGAAAAAAAAAAAAACCCTAGCTGTATCTCAAAAGCTGTGGGGACTCCACAGTAAAAGTAGGTACTCAAAGATACCTACCAAATTGTTTCTATTCTAAAAATGAAACAGATATTTTTATGCATGTATTGCATATACACATACTTTGGTTTAATCTCTTTCAACGAAGAAAATGAGCTGGGTGCTGGTGGCTCACGCCCACAATCCTAGCTACTCAGGAGGCTGAAATGTAAGGATCAAGGTTCAAAGCCAGCCCAGACAGGAAAGTCTATGTGACTCTTATCTCTAATTAACTACCAGAAAACTATGTTGGTATGGCTCAAAGTGGTAGAACGCTAGCCTTGAGCAAAAGAGCTTGAGGACAGTGCCCAGGACTTGAGTTCAGGCCCCACAACTGACAAAAAAAAAAACAAGAGAAGATGGATAGACAGACTCACAGGTCATTGTGTAAAGAAAAAAAGGGCAACAGTGTCAGTGGAGAAGCATGAGAAAGCCAGCACTGAGCTGGGCACATTTCTCTCCCTAGAAAGGTATTGTTGAGTGTGAGAGTGGTGGAAAAGGGGAAAAAATTGCTCAGTGCAGCTTTTTTCTTCATCACAGGGGTTTGACTTAAGGGGCTTGCTCTCTTCCCTTTGTCATTTCATGGCAGGTGCTTTATCACTGGAGCCATAGCTCCACTTCTAGCTTTTCCACTGGTTAATTAGATAAGAATCTCTTGGACTTTTTTTTTTTCCTTTTGCCAGTCCTGGGACTTAAACTCAGAGCCTGGGCTTTGTGCTCAAGTCTAGCACTCTACCTTTATTTTTGTTTTTTTGGTCAGTTGTGGGGCTTGAACTCTGGGCCTGGGTGCTGTCCCTGAACTCTTCAGCTCAAGGCGAGCGCTCTACCTCTTGAGCCACAGCCCCACTTCCAGTTTTCTAGTGGTTTATTGGAGATAAGAGTCTCACAAACTTTCCTGTCCAGGCTGGCTTTGAACCTGAACCTCAGATCTCAGCCTCCTGAGTAGCTAGGATTACAGGTGTGAGCCACCAGCGCCCGGCTGCACTCTACCTCTTGAACAAGCCACAGTGCCACTTCTAGCTTCTTCTGAGTAGTTTTTTTAGAGATACGAGTCTCATGGACTTTCCTGCCCAGGCTGACTTCAAACTGCATTCCTCAGATCTCAACCTCCAGAGTAGCTAGGATAACAAGTGTGAGCCACCAGCACTGGGTTGCTTGGACTTGCCTTGCATGCATGAGGCCCTGGGTTCGATTCCTCAGTACCACATAAGCAAAAAAGAAAAAAGCCGGAAGTGGCACTGTGGCTCAAGTGGTAGAGTGCTAACCTTGAGCTGAAGAGCTGAGGGATAGCGCCTAGGCCCAGAGTTCAGGCCCCACAACCGGACCCAAAATAAAATAAATAAAATAAAAACTGAATCTCACCGGGGATTGTGGCTTAGTGGTAGAGTGCTTGCCTAGCATTCATGAAGCTCTGGCTTGATTCCTCAGTTCCACATACACAGAAGCCAGAAGTAGAGCTATGGCTCAAGTGGTAGAGGGCTAGTCTTGAACAAAAGAAGGTCAGCAACAGTGTCCAGGCCCTGAGTTCAAGCCTCCAGACTAGCCAAAATAAATACATTGAAGCCAGGTGCGAATGGCTGTAATCCTAGCTACTCAAGAGGCTGAGATGAGGATTGTGGTTCAAAGCCAGCCCGGGTAGGAAAGTTCATGAGACTCTTACCTCTAATAAACCACTCACAAAACCAGGAGTGGTGTTGTGGCTCAAGCAGTAGAGCACTATCCCCAGAGTTCAAGCCCAATGACTGATACAAACAAACAAATAGAATCTCAAGCCAGGTGCAGGTGGCTCACACCTGTAATCCTATCTACTCTGGAGGCTGAGATCTGAGGATCCCCAGTGTGAAAGCAGCCAGGCAGTCTGTGTGACTCTATATCCAGTTAATCACCAAACAGCCAGATGTGGTGTTATGGCTGTAGTGGTAGGGCACTAACTTTGAGCAAAAAAAGCTTAGGGACTGCACTCGGGCCTTGGGTTTAAGCCTCAGGACTGGCACCCCCCCCCCCAATTTTTTTTTTCCTTCAATACACTTTTTTTGTTGTTATTGGTTGTGGGACTTCAACTCTGGGTTTGGGTGCTGTCCCTGCACTCCAGCTCAAGGCAAGCACTCTACTGCTTGAGTGACAGCATCAGTTCCGGTTTTCTAGTGGCTTATTGGAGATAAGAGTCTCACAGATTTTGCTGCCTGGGCTGGCTCTGAACTGATTTCAGCCTCACAAGTAGCTAGGATTACAAGTGTAAGACACAGGCCCCTGGCCTTATCTATAGTTTCTAAGCTCATTGTGCAAGCAGTGTTTCAAAGTAAATAAGGTAACAGCTACACAAGTTTCCAAGGCTGAGGTGTCAGTATTCTTAAGTGGCCACACCCTTCCTTCTTCATCATCTTTCTTTCCTAAACTGTAACAAGGACTCTAGGCATGCCTTTCGCTGATTTTCTTTTTTTGGCCAGTCATGGGGCCTGAACTCTGGGCCTGGGCGCTGTCCCTCAGCTCTTCAGCTCAGGGTTAGCGCTCTACCACTTGAGCCACAGTGCCACTTCTGGCATCGAACCCAGGGCCTCATACATGCAAGGCAAGCACTCTACCACTGATACCTTCACAGCCCTGATTTTCTTAAAGAGGGAGGAGGCACTGCTAATTGGGAAGGCCACTTGTTTTTATTAAACTCCACCCTTTTGGCAAATGCCAGACTTTTGTTTTTGTTGGCTGGTGATGAGCTTTGAACTTGGGTTCTGGGTGCTGTCCCTGAGCTCTTTGCTCAAGGTTAGGACTCTTGCCACTTTGAGCCATAGGACCACTTTCGAGTGGTAACTGGAGACTGAGTCTCATGGACTTTTCTGCCACAGCTGGCTTTGAACTCTGATAACTCAGATTCTGAGCAGCTACGATTACAAGCATGAGCCACCAATGCCCAGCTTGCCAGGCTTTTTCAATAATATTTCAGAGGAAAATTTATGGTTTTCTTGTGTGCTTGAACGCCGGGCCTCATGTTCTCTCTCAGCTTTTTTGCTCAAGGCTGGCTATGGCTGTCTGACACTCTACCACTTGAATCTACCTCCAGTTCCAGCTTTTTGCTGTTTTTTTTACTGATAAGTGTCATAGACTTTTCTGCCTAGGATATCTTCCAACTGTGATCTTTGGATCTCAAGCCTCCTGGATGGCTAAGATTATAGGCATGAGCCATTGGCATCTAGAAAAAAATTTCTTTGGATACAGTTCTGAATCTGATCATAGACCACACTATCCAAACTGCTCAGTGTTAAGAGACATGGAATTTTACAATTTCTATCAGTAACTTTTGTCAAAACATTCTGAAGCTTGAGTTATTGATGCAGCTATTTGTACAGTTCCACACTTTCAATTGGGTCAAAGGGCCATGGGCAAGATGATTTCTTTGAAAAGAGAAAATGCCTGAGATGTACACATTCAATTCATATAACTGACCCTGGCTTTCATTCCCCTTAGGAGTCAGATTCCTCTTCTTCCTCTTCCACATCTTCATCCACCACATGGCTTCTTGTGCTCAGCTGCAGTGCAGTCTGGTTGATCGATGCTTCGTTGTCTACATGCATTAACATCTGTGAGTGAAGACATAGATGAGGAGGAATAATATTGGTCTCAAGACAGGAGATTCAGGCTAGGGGCTTTTTCTTTTTTTTTTTGGGTCCGGTCGTGGGGCCTGAACTCTGGGCCTGGGCACTGTCCCTCAGCTCTTCAGCTCAAGGCTAGTACTCTACCACTTGAGCCACAGCACCACTTCCGGCTTTTTAAAAAAATTTTTGCTTATATGGTGCTGAGGAATCGAACCCAGGGCCTTGAGCATGCAAGGCAAGTGCTCTACCACTGAGCCACCTTCCCAGCCCCTAGGCTAGGGGCTTTTAACTCAAAGCACAGCACTTGCCTAGCAAGCTAAAGGACCTGGCCCTAGATTTTACCAGAATGTTAGGATTTACAAACATGGTTCTTCTAGAAAGCTCTAACAGAAGAATTACACAAAAATGGCTCAATTGTCATATTTAGAAAAGATTTTACTGACTTCTTTGATGGCAAAACTTGCTAATTGAGAGATGAGAATTCAGACTCATCTTTTAGCACTGTTTTTTAGCTGAATTCATTTTTTTTGTTTTGTTGGTTGTGGAGCTTAAACTCTGGGTCTGGGTGTTGTCCCTGAGCCTCTTTGTGCTCAAGCTAGTGCTCTACCGCTTGAGCCACTGTGCCACTTTCAGTTTTTGAGTGATTAATTGGAGATAAATATCTCACATGCACATTTCTGCCCAACCTGTCTTTAAACAGTGATTCTCAGATCACAGCCTCCTGAGTAGCTAGGATTATAGGTGTGAGCCACCGGTACATGGCTAGCTGAATTTATTTTTTAAATTTAGGGAATAGTAATTTTTGTAATCATACGTATGTGTGTATGTATATATATATTATATATGGCTTTATATATTGAATATAGTATACCCTTATGCAAGTAGAAAAAAATTTAGTATTTCAAGACCAATTTGTGTACAATACCAACTCAGATAGTAAACTGGGACAACTCCTCTTTTCCAAAGCTGACATCACAGTTAAAGTTTCACAAATTTCAAATTATACAAATGTACATAAAAACACCAGTAACAAGCCGGGCGCTGGTGGCTCACACCTGTAATCCTAGCTACTCAGGAGGCAGAGATCTGAGGATCGCAGTTCCAAGCCAGCCTGGGCAGGAGAGACCGTGAGACTCCTATCTCCAATAAACCACCAGAAAACTGGAAGTGGCGCTGTAGCTCAAGTGGTAGAGCGCGCTCGCCTTGAGCTGAAGAGCTGAGGGACAGCGCCCAGGCCGAGTTCAAGCCCCACGACTGACAAAAAAAAAAAAAAACACACCAGTAACAGCAATATGTCATTCAACAGTAACAGCAATGGCATTGCAGTTTCTGCTGTCATTTGAACAAAATTCTAGACATTTGGCATACTCCATTAAAAAAGAAAAAAACCAACAACAACATGAAGTTAGGCACTGTCCACTCGTGTCTGTAAACCTATCTATACAGAAAGCTGAGATCTGAGTATCACAGTTGGAAGCCAACCTAGGCAGAAAAATCCATGAGACTTTTATCTCCAATTAACTACTAAAAGAGCTGGAAGTGGAGCAGTGGCTCAAATGGTAGAGCATTAGCTTTGATCACAAGAAGTTCAGGAATTGTAACCCTTTTAAAATAATATAAAAAAATTTTAAGTAAAAATATCACAGAGTACAGCAAGGTCCTATTATTGTGGTACCTGGCACCACTGGGGGCGGGGGAGGTTATTACTGACAGTTTTTTTTTTTTCTGTCGATGGTGGGGCTTTAACGCTTGGGCGCTGTCCCTCAGCTCTTCAGCTGAAGGCGAGCGCCCTACACTTGAGCCACAGCGCCACTTCCGGTTTTCTAGTGGTCTATTGGCAATGAGAGTTTCACAGACTTTCCTGCCTGGGCTGGCTTTGAACCGTGAACCTCAGATCTCAGCCTCCTGAGTAGCTAGGATTACAGGCATGAGCCACCAGCGCCCAGGTGACTTTTTTTTTTGGGTCCTGAGGCCTGAACTCTGGGCCTGGGCACTGTCTCTGAGCTTCTTTTTGCTTAAGGCTAGCACTCTACCACTTAAACCACACAGCACTACTTTAGGCTTTTTCTGTTTATGTGCCAGGCCTTTTCTGTTTATGTGGTACTGAGGAATTGAACCCAGGGCTTCATGAATGCTAGGCAAGCACTCTACCACTAAGCACATTACCAGCCCATTACTGACATTTGAACTGAGCCTTATGCTTGCTAGGTTTGCTTGTTCAGTTGGCACTCTTTACCACCTGAGTCTCACCTCCAACCAGGCTTTTTGCTGGTTAATTTGAGATGGGGTCTTGTAGGCATTTTTGCCCAGGTGGCTTTGAACCTCAATACTCTAGGTCTCAGCCTCTAGGATAACTAGGATTATCTAGGTGACCACCGTGACTAGCTCTGTTTTCTTTTGTGCTAGTGCAGGGACTTGAACTCAGGGCCAGAGCACTGTGTCTTAGCTTTTCCCCTCAAGGCTGGTGTTCTACCACATGAGCCACAGTTCTATTTCTGATTTTTTTTTTGCCGGTTGTGGGGCCTGAATCCTGGCCCTGGATGCTGTCCCTCAGCTTTCAGCTCAAGGCTAGCATTCTACCACTTGGGCCACAGAGCCACTTCCAGCTTTTTCTGCTTCTGTGGTGTTAAAGAATCGAACCCAGGGCCTTATGCATGCAAGGCAAGCACTCTACCATTGAGCCACCTTCCCAGCCCATATTTCTGATTTTTTTTGATGGTTAATTGGAGATAAAGTCTTGGATTTTTTTCTGCCTGGGCTGCCTTCAAACCCAGGTCCTTAGATTTCAACCTCCTAAGTAGCTAGGATTACAGGTGTGAGCCACTACAGCATAGCCACTTTTTTTTTTTTTTAAATTAACTCTGCAAGTATCACTTGGAAAGAAAACATTCTAGAGCAGCATCATTAAAGAGTTCTGTTAAACTGGAATAAGATTCAACAGATTTATAATACAGTACATTTTCCTACATCTAGATTTCTATAGGATAAAATTTAAAAGGCACTGATTGATTCCATTTTTTCTAGCAGAAGACCAAAATATGACAGGACACAGCTTTGTAAATAAAAATGTACTTTCAAGCTTGAAGCTAGTGGTTCATGCCTATAAACCTAGCTACTCAGGGGCTGGGAATATGTCTTAGTGGAAGAGTGCTTGCCTAGCATGCATGAAGCCCTGGGGTTCAATTCCTCAGTACCACATAACCAGAAAAAGGCAGAAGTGGTGCTGTGGCTCACATGGTAGAGTGCTAGCCTTGAACAAAAGAAGCATAGGGACAGTGCCCAGACTGTGAGTTCAAGCCCCAGGATCATGAGGCTGAGATCTAAGGACCACAGTTTGAAGCCAGCATAGGCAGAAAAGCCCAGCACTGGCACAAACCAAAGGAAAAACCACAGGGACAGTTCTAATAGCTTATTAGACATGAGTCCCACAGGTTTTCTTGCCTGGGCTGGCTTCAAACCATGATTCTCAGATCTCAACCTCCTATAGTTAGGACTGCAGATGGGAGCCACCAGCACCTGGCTTTGACCTCACTTATTTTTGAGTCTTACAGATTACTCACAAAGCAAGTTATTCCTAGGTAAATCTCGTCTCCCCAGGGTTCATCTGGGTGGCTGAGGTAGTAAAAGTATAACCAGTTTGGAGGAGGGTGGACTATTAGCATCTGCATCATAGACTAACGTGGAGTAGCCGTCTTATTAAATTTGAAAATTCTACTGGGAGGGCTGGTGATGTAGCTCATTAAACTATCAAATGTAAGGTTCTGGGTTCAATCCCCAGTACCAGCACTAAAAGGGAGAGAAGACAGGGTTGCTTAGCATGTGGGAAGACATGGCTTCAAACCTTAGCACTTCCCAGAATCCTCTGGGCTGCATAATTTGCTTTAAGGCAGTATTTGTCCATGCAAGTGGCAGGGAGCAGAGTGGACTGTGCATTCCTTGTCCCAAGGGCTATGCTTGTTTGAACTTACATCATGTGACTGTTCAGGTACAGGATGAGAAGTTGTCATCTCATCCCCTCTTCTACAATTGATCATTGACTGGAGGGCCAGTTCTTCAACCTAGAAAAGAAGAGTTGAGGTCACTTTGCCAGGCTACTGATGTAGATAAATTTGTGGCTGGCACCATGAAAAAGGATTGAAAGCTCTCATTTCTGTGTGAGGGAACTTTTCATTTTCCCTGACTTTTACAGAGAAGCAAAGACTCCAGCCCTTTTCCTTTGAACTGTACAGATCTTCCAACTAAGCCACAGGTTTCCAATTCCCCAGACCTAGCAATCTGGGAGGAAACACCAAATGTGCCAATGTAAAGGTGATATTCTCTAGGTCCAAAAGACAGCTGAATTTCCTTGGTGTGAACCTGATTACTCAGTAGAGAAAGTGAAGGCAGAAAGAAGAGAAAATGGTAGAAACAACAGGGTATTAGGGGGGTGAGGTCTCATCAACACATAATCATTAGATAATTGTAGAAGTTGCAGTATGTTGCGGTGCAAGTCACTGTAGGCTATTAAAACTGCCTTAATGAAAACTGATTATTTTTGCTACGTCTCAAGTGCTTATAAACCCTTTTCTGTTTATTAAGAGCTTTGGTAGGGCTGGGAAGGTGGCTCAGTGGTAGAGCGCTTGCCTTGCATGCCTGAGGCCCTGGGTTCGATTCCTCAGCACCACATAAGCAGAAAGAAAAAAGCCAGTAGTGGCACTGTGGCTCAAGTGGTAGAGTGCTAGCCTTGAGCTGAAGACCTGAGGGACAGCACCCAGGCCCAGAGTTCAGGCCACACAACTGGACCCCCCCCCCAAAAAAAAAAGAGCTTTGGTAACCCTGGTGTCATTTCGACTTAAAAGAGGTGGTCAGGATCATCTCCCGGAGACGGAATGACCCCAGGGGTAGAAGGTAACCCAGGCCTTCCTCAACTACCAGCCCCGAGAATGCCAGTCTCTGGAACACGTTCCTCTCCCCGCCCTGGGTTATTCCTGTGCATGGTGGGGAGATCTGCAGAATCCCTTCTAGCTTTCCGATATTAGGTGCCTATGCAAACTAGAAGAGAGTGGCTCAGGAGCAGGAGGGCGGGCAGGGAGCAGGTCTAGGCGGACCTGCGGGAGGGCCCTAGGCTTGCACGCGGGCAGGGTTCGCGGGGGAGGAACTGTACTTGTCAGAGATCCCTGGGTCAGGCCAGAGCTGCAGCATGGGGGCTCTGAGCGGAGTGGGAAAACAATCGCGGAGCAAGCTCCCCGGGAGATTCAGCTCCAACGAGTTCGAAAGACGCCAGGTCCGCGGCACTAGGCCAAGTGAAGGCCGGCGCACGGGGCTGGGCTCACCTTGAGGCGGTTCAGCTGGTCGTGAAGGGCGGCCTTTAACCGAAGCAGCGTCTCCTCTTCCTTGCGCAGCTCCTGGAGGCGGCTAAGCATGGCCGCTGTTTAGAAGCCCCGCCGGCTTCCCGTGGTCGCTCGGCGATGACGCCATAGGCGGGCGCCGGAAGCGCACCGGCCCAGCAGCCATGTTGGAAGAGGCTTTGACTGTGCGCGCTATTACCTAAAGACGGGAGATAATCGTTGACGGATCAAGACGTTTTAAGATCTCTACGCTTCAAGAAGCGCCAAAAAGCACACAGAACACGACGCTAGAGCCGTCTCTGGTTTGGTTTTCTTTCCCCCGATACCGATTGCCCAGCGAAGCTAGCCAACTCCTGTGACTCGTGAGCAATTGCAGCTCACTTCCGGCGTGCCGGCGTCACCCGCCGGCGCTCGTGCAACGACCGGAGCGCACTGCCACTACAGTTCCGGCTTTGAACTGCCGCTGTCTTCCGCCTCGGAAGGATGGGCTGAGAGGCGGGACTTCACTGCGCCAAAGCACTATGTGTGGCGGAGCACACAGCACCACCCTTAAGGGAGCTGGACCCCAAAATTCTGGGTCACAGAAATAAGAAAAGTTGAGTAAATGGCCAGGCACCAGTGGTCACGCCAGTAATTCTACTCTGGATGCTGAGATGTGAGGATCATAGTTCAAAGCCAGCCTGGCCAGGAAAAGTCCATGAGACTCAGATCTTAATCACCACAAGGCCAGAAGGGGCACTGTGGTTCATGTAGTAGTGCTAGCTTTGAGCTCAAGAATTCAAGACCCATAGCCGGGCGCTGGTGGCTCACGCCTGTAATCCTAGCTACTCAGGAGGCTGAGATCTGAGGATCGAGGTTCAAAGCCAGCCCGGGCAGGAGACTGTGAGACTCCTATCTCCAATAAACCACTAGAAAACCAGAAGTGGCGCTGAAGCTCAAGTGGTAGAGCGCTCACCTTGAGCTGAAGAGCTGAGGGACAGCGCCCAGGCCCAGAGTTCAAGCCCCACGACCGACCAAAAAAAAAATTCAAGACCCACGACAAAACAAAAAAAGTAAGTGTGGCTTAACTACACTGGGAACACTTTTTTGTACCAAGTTGGCTCTGGAAACAGCAGGGTGCTATCTAGCCAAGGAAAGCTAATGGACAGGGAGAAGTAAGCTGATTTGTAGGCAACTCCAAAATGCTATCTTGTGAGGCCTCCTCACTTCCTTTGGGGGGGGGGGCACACACACAAAAAACGTGCCTGATGGACTTCATAGTTTAACTATAGGGATGGGAATGTGGCTTAGTGGTAGAGTGATCGCTGAGGCCCTGGGTTCGATTCCTCAGCACCACATAAGCAGAAAAAAAAGCCAGAAGTGGCACTGTGGCTTAAGTGGTAGAGCGCTACCCTTGAGCTGAAGAGCTGAGGGACAGCACCCAGGCGGAGTTCAGGCCTCCCCCCACAAAAACAAAACCCTGGGTTCCATACCTGTTATCACATCAACAAAAGCAATGTGGCTCAAGTGGTATTTGTATGCTGGCCTCGAGCAAAATAAACTCAGGGACAGCTCCTAGGCCCTGAAAATTCAATCCCCAGGACTGGCAGCAACAAAAAAAATAATAAAAAGTAGTAATAAAAACCGGTAGAGCAGGGCTGGGAAGGTGGCTCAGTGGTAGAGCGCTTGCCTTGCATGCTCAAGACCCTGGGTTCGATTCCTCAGCACCACATAAGCAAACAGAAAAAAGCCGGAAGTGGCGCTGTGGCTCAAGTGGTAGAGCGTTAGCCTTGAGCTGAAGAGCTGAGGGACAGCGCCCAGGCCCAGAGTTCAGGCCCCACGACCGGACCCAAAAAAAAAAAAAAAAAAACCGGTAGAGCATAAATCCATGCTCCATTTACCACCAAACTGTAATGTAAGGGGAAATTAAAGACTAGAATTAGCAAGAGGCATTAAATTGTAAGGAAAAGTCACAGCACACCCAAATGATGTTTTTCACTGCATCTTTGATCTGGTCTTTATTCAACTAAGCTGTCCCATATCATGACCTTTATATAATGAAACAGATTGTAATAGTTTATGCAGCAGGCTTCTTTTCTTCTGTGGTAGCTTTCTTTTCAGTCGTTGGTTTCTTTTCAGTTGGTTTCTTGGTAGCAGCTGCCTTTTTTCCCACAGGCTGCTTCTGTTTTTTAACATCAGCAGCCTTCTTTCCTTTCTTACTCACCGCGGGCTTCTTCTCTCCAGCCCTCTTTTCTGCAGCGGCCTTCTCATCTAATTTGGCTGCCAAAGCTGCTGCTTTCTTCACTCGGATTTTGTGCTGCAACAGATTAGCCAGAAAAGTTTAAGAATCTTTAAAAACTAAAACACAAACTAGCCTTGCTATATGACTAGAAGCAATGTATCACTTACATTTCTTGCCTGGCGAAGAATGGTGTTTCGGCGCATGGTCTTTGCGTATGGGTTCAGTTTCAACATGATTCTCAGGTTTTTCAGTGGGTTCTTCTTCAGGACTCTGCGAATAATCTTCTTGCTATAAAATCAGACAAGTTTATCAACATTTTATGTACATTATGTATATGCTTAAAGAACGAAGTTTCAAGTGTGAGAATTATGTAAATCAACATCAACTTTACCGTGGTGCTCTAAGGGCTCTTTGGATCTCTGGGCTTTTCAAGATTCTGCTGAGGTCTGTATTCAACATCTTGTGCATAGGAAGGCTGAATGAAAAAGATTGAGAACAGATGCCTGAATTCTCATGAAAGTAAGTATCAAGTGTTTATAGTCTTTGACCAGCTAATTCTCTGGAACTCAATTTCTATCACATTATCATTTCTAATAAACAAGGATCTACACTTAAGTGCGTTGTTTTGCAAATAAGAGAATGAAGTTACTCTTTTTAGTGAACAATGAAACTCACTTATAGTTACTCTTGAGGGAGGCAGCTTTACGCCAAGTGCCATACAATTCATCCAACTTCCGGAAAGCACTTTCAGTCCAAATGCAGAAACGTCCCACATGACCACCAGGAGCAAGTTTTAAAATGTTTAGTTTGCTGACATTAAGCAAAGTAATTCCTTTTAAACAGAAAGAAGAATTAGGGGCCCTGTATTTCAACACAATAGAAATTTCTAGTTTATCATGCTATACTAAAGATCTCAGAACCATCTTACTATATGAAGCAGTTAACCAGCAATCAGAACTTCCACAAAATCATGCATTTCAGAAACACGGACCATGAAGTGGAATCTCATCATAGTGAAAGCTGAGCAAGCTAGCATGGAATAGGAGGGTAATCAAAATATACTACAAGGATTACCAGGGATGTTTCTGAAGGCCTTTATGATTCCATTGTCTTCATTATAGATGATGCAGGGGCCCTTGCGCTGGATACGCCTGCGGTTTCTCATTTTGCCCTTGCCAGCTCTCATTCGCTGAGAGGCATAGACCTACAAAGTGAACAGTTTTAGGAATTGCAAAGTCTCTTCAACAAATTGGCAGTTAAAAACACATTTCAACTTTATGCATATTCTTAATGACATGCCTTTGTCATTCCCTAGATTAAGACAATAACTATTTACATACCACCCACACAGTATAATCTAGCAATGTATTGTAGATTATATTCAATTGCCTCATTTTATCTTGGACACATGAGCAATTGAGGATCTTATGAGGGACCTGTAACCAATGCGAAGTCCTTTAAACATCTCTTGGTGGTTACAATGTATACTATATGTACTTATCAAGGACTACATTGCAAATGTGCGTATTAAACCTACCTTCTTGATGTCATTCCAGGCTTTCAGTTTCTTAAGAAGCAAAACAGCCTCCTTGGTCTTCTTGTAACCCTCAACTTTATCTTCGACCACCAAAGGAAGTTCAGGTACTTCCTCAATTCGATGACCTGACAAAGCCAATCCAATACTAGTTATTCTGCTAAAAACTTTATACATACATTCTACCAAAGCAAAATGGCTAGAAATCTGCCCAAGATCAGAATTTCCACAAATATCATGTGTGTCAGAAACACGGACCAATTAAGTGGAATCTCATCATTTGGGCCAGTATGCAGGCAATTATGAACAAGGTTTAGAAAAAATAGTGTTTTGTACCAACACTATAAGAAATATTATAGCCAGGTGCTGGTGGCTCACTCTACTTGGCAGGCTGACATCTAAGGCCCATGGTACAAAGCCAGCCTGGGCAGCAAAATGGGTGAGATGCCAATCTCCAATAAACTACTCACAAAAAGTCTTTAGCAAAAGGTCAGGGAGAGAGCCCATGCCCACAGTTCAAGCCACAAAACTGGCAAAAATAACTATTACAAACCTTTAGACATGACCAATGCTGGTAAGGCTGAGGCGGCCAGGGCAGAACAGATGGCATATCGCTTCTGGGTTGTGTTCACTCTACGGTGCCAACGACGCCAGGTTTTGGTTGGTGCAAACATGCGACCTCCTCGACACATCTATTTACTGAGTTAAGAACTACAGGCAAGGAATTTGACTTAGTAGTAGAGTGCTTATCTAGCACACATGAAACCTTGGGTCAGATTCCTCAGTACCATGTAAACAGAAAAGGCTATAAGTGGTGCTGTGGTTATGGCAGAATTCAAGCCTTGAGCAAAAGCAGCGCAGGGACAGTGTCCAGGCCAAGTTCAAGCCTCAGGACTGGCAAAAAACAGAACTACTGTACACTGTGGTATAGTTGTGGCTCATGTAGTAGTGACGGCCTCAAGCTAAAAGCCAAGTGAGTGTGGGAGGCAGTCAGGTCTGGTACCGTCATAATAAAAATGGTTCTCTCTCAGATTTTGGAAAATAAAGTTATGCCTTGCTCAGTAACAATTTTCGTCAACCTTCTGAACCAGCTTACTGACAGCAGGCAACTGTCGCCGAGAACAGAGTAAGACGCAAATTACGACATCATTGCAGGCAAACATGTATGTAAAATGAAGCCTTTTCTCTACGAGACTAAAGAGAATGTTTTAATCCCATTCGTCTACAGCAATGTTTACTAGGTATACTTTGGATCTAAATTTGCTTCAAAATACATTAATATGAGTAAAGCAGATCCAGCCTGGTAAGTTCCACGGAAAGGTGATCAATGTTCATAGTGAAACAAAGGATACATTTCCAAAGGCACCCTGGCCAGAACGGTGGGTCCCACCACCTCGAACTCTGGGAATACGAGCTACAGCTCTGC